TGTGTGTGTGTGTGTGCGGGCGTGCGTGCGTACATATGTGCAGTATGAGTGTGTGTGGTGAGAGAGAATTTAATTGAATTTGACTTTATTGACTTTCGAGGTCAACGGCCCATACGTTATAAACAGTTATAAGTTAATAATGCAAAATACTGATCTCTCTGTGTTGCGCTAAAGAAAAAAATTACAAAATAACCTGCAACACAGAAAACATATATATATATATATAACATTTACATCTTGAATCTAGTTCTACACCTAATGGAATGGGCCCTCACACAACAAAGTACAGAGTACAAAGCATTGGTCATAGTCATTCACGCGTGATGCAGATTGTAAACAAATCTTACAGGCTGGGCTCTGATCTCTCTAGTTTAGCTCTAATCTCGACTCTAGATTTTTTAAAAATCAATTTCACATTGTCTTTCCATTTTTCGTCCTTTGGGAATCTGGAGTAAGTCAATAATTTGGTCTTTCCTCTGGAATTAGAACGGCCGATCGCTGAACAAAACTGGCCAGTAATGCCGACAGCATAAACGTTGCGTGTCCCTCGCCGTGTTCGTTTACACACTGTCGCACGCTCGCCGCTAGTGGCGCTAGGAGTCGATGTGCCTCACAAAATTGGGCCACTGCAACATCTGACCGCAGGCTGTAATATCTTTGATTAGACTACATTATGTGTGTTTCTGATCGCTGGAATTGGCGTCCGGATGTTTAATGTGTCGACATGAATCGGTTCTGCTCAGAAAACATGATTATACTGTTCTCATTGCTGTAGGAGAAGTTACGGTGTTGTGTTCTTGATAGTATTATGGTGAAACAAGTGCGGTCTCCATGGAGGTGGTTAATTCACGGACGAGGTGAGTGAGTTAGTGAGTCAGTGTGTGTGTGTGTGTGTGTGTGTGTGTGTGTGTGTGTGTGTGTGTGTGTGTGTGTGTGTGTGAGGGAGGGAGAGAGGGAGAGAGGGAGTGAATGAGTGAATGAGTGAGTGAGTGAGTGAGTGAGTGAGGGAGTAGGGAGAGAGGGAGTGAGTGAGTGAGTGAGTGTGTGAGTGAGGGTGGGAGGGAGTGAGGGAGAGAAGGAGGAAGTGAGTGAGAGAGTGTACGGGTGGGTGAGTGAGTGAGTGTGTGAGTGAGTGAGTGAGGGAGTGAGTGAATGAGTGAGTGTGTGAGGGAGGGAGGGAGAGAGAGAGGGAGTGAGTGAGTGAGTGAGTAAGTGAGTGAGGGAGGGAGGGAGTTGGGAGAGGGGGAGGAAGTGAGTGAGAGAGTGGATGGGTGGGTGAGTGAGTGAGTGTGTAAATGAGTGAATTGTTGCTATGTTACTCTTGTGAGTACTGTTGTTGTTGCTGTTATTGTTGTTAGTTTTTGTTGCTGTTGCTGTTGTGGGTGGTACTATCGTAACACCGAAGTAATGGCGTCTTGGAATGTTGTGGACTTAACTTATTGGCATCTCAGATATTTTATTGTCCGGGCAACACCAAATAGACAACTTGTTGACCTCATAACACCGAATCTAAGTTGCGAATCTCTCTGATTTTTTTGATTTTTTTTGCACGCGCCTATGAATTCTAAAAGACCCCCAAAATCACGATTTGGCAAATATAAAGAGGTGCTGTCTAGATTATATAGTCATTAGTAATTATACCGCGCACTTTTTATAGCAATCACATTACCGTGCTGAAACCATAACAATACAGGGTGTCGTTGCAGGGGCTTAACCAGAAATTTCCGGCTCGGGGGAGGGGGGGGGGGAGATTATTATTTTTTTTTTTAATATCGTTAATCTTTTAAAGTGTTTTTAGTAGTATTAGTAGAGGTTTTACATCGCTCGCTACTGCATAAGGTCATATGAGAGCCAGAAGATTAGAAGCGTTACAAGAGAGTAACAAACACAAAAAGAAGGAGGGTGGATAAAGACAACAATAGACTTTTGATAGGAAAGAAGAAGCAAACCACAGCAGAGCACCCGCCAACCACCCACTTTCATGTGTTTGGAACTTCTAGTTTACATTGACCTTTCAAAATGGATTTTTAGGTCCTGTTGGCCATCCAACTTTTCAACCCGCATGAAAACTCGGAGTGCAAGTCATTGTTTGTCCAAACTGTGATTCGACGTGTGCGACAACCCTACAGCGAGCCACGGCTCCGTGGAAGCATGATGTATTTATCAGATGGGAAGATCCTCTTAAAGCCTTATCAGCGACCAGAGTACAGTTTTTAGCTTTTCCGCTCCGATGTCGGATCTTACAGATTTGAAAAAAAAATGTAGTAGGAGGGGGTGATATATCATTTTACCAGCAAACAGTTTTAAAGAAAAGGGGAAATGGTGAAAGGGTGATGGTTGTCTTCAGAAAAAGAGGACGAGGCAAAGAGTAGGTCACACACAAGAGAACCAGTCATCCGAGATCGAACTCTCGACAGTTCAATTCAAGGTCTCATGGACCGTTCCTTTCCTCAGAGATCAGAACTGTTCAAGCCAAGTTGCCCCATCACGCATAAACAACTTTGCACACACGGTCTGTCGCTCAGGGACTCCGTCACTCTGTCACTCTGTCACTCTGTCACTCTGTCACTCTGTCACTTTGTTGCTCTGTCACTCAGTCACTCTGTCACTTTGTTGCTCTGTCTCTCTCAGGGGCGAAGGCTGACTTGTTTGACAGGGTAATCAGAGTGAAACGGGACCAGATATTATGGCCTGGAGATATCACACAAGAATCTTAGTCGAGGCGGCGACTCTTAAGTTGTGTGAATTAAAACAAATCCGGAATTCAACCGCCAAAATAATCGGGAAAGTATCTCATTAAATATCAATTCCAACTAAAATTAAATTAAACTTTAGAAGTGAATACACAAACCCAAAGCAGGAAGCAGAGATGTCAGTACTCGATCTATTATATGTTTTAGATCTACCAGGGAATCTAACTCTTGGGTAGAACATGACAATTATCATTGTTTTAAATTTCACTTTTGGCTGGGTTTTTTTCTAGCTTTTCGCGGCCAAGAGCTGATGTCATAATCGAGGTCACGATCTGATTATAGGACGGTAAAAAGTCGAGGGAAAAAAAAACAAGCACTCGCAGCAGTAAAGAGATTATTAGGAGTTAGTTCCCCTCATATCTGTAAGGTAGACTCGACCAGTGTAATAGTTCACTTACATAATCAGGGCTTGGGACTGATTATAACTGTCGCCCGAAAGGGGTGAACAGGGTATATGTGGCAATGAAACTGTTTTGACTGCCA